ATGATACACTTTGCATGCTAATTGGACTTAATATCTTTTATAACGTAATTTGAATTACAAGTCTTCAACATAGTTAATTTATGTCACGTATTCCTTTAAAAAAATGTACGAGCATTAAATGTATTCACTGTATACATCTAAACATAGTAAATGAGGTGCTCCAAGTATACAAATTACTCTAAGGGCCTGTTTGGTTCACCAGTTTATAGAATAGGATTAGTATTTAGGGTCTGACAGTGGCAATTTGGTAATTTTTGGATTCTCTGTGAATCCTATTCTGGGGTTTGGCTCAGCCAAAAATTTGGGATTACCATATCCATAAAGTAGCTACAGTATCGCTTTTTTATAGAAACCCAAATCGGATGAAAATGATCGGATTTGGGCGAGATTTCTGACAGGGCGCTTCAACGTCGATTCCGATTCCTATCTCACGAATTCGATCCCTAGATCTGGAATCGCTGTTCGTCTCCCGCCTGCACGCCCTCTTCTTCGCGCCTCTTCTCCCGCGCTTCGTCTTCTTCTACTTGGGGTCGGGGCTCCAAATCGAAACCCTAGCTTTGTTTTCCCCGAGCTTGTGTTAGGTTTCTTGCCTTCGATTCTTGGTGATCCCTTCTCGATCTTGTTCTGCTTCGACAAAATTGTTGGCTACGGTGTTGTGATTGACTTCGGTGGGTTTTTTGGTTGGACGTCGGCATTCTGGAACTTCATCAGACAGGTATTAATTTTTTTTTTTCATTTTGCCCTATTTCTGCAGTTATTTTTCTCTATACGGATCAAGAGGGGAGAAGAGGCTGTTCATCTTCTTTCAAAGATTAATTTACCCAAACACTTTTGCACGCATAATGTAATCCTCTATGTATTTTGAGGTAATTTTATATTTAACTTTAATATTCTTTTATGAGAATTAACTCAAACTTCTCACAAGTTGTTTTAGAACATATAACAAGTAATAGAGAGTGATGAGGTTTTGAATAGTTACATACCTCACCAACCTTCATACTGCAGTTTTCTTCCATTGTTTGGTTACAGAGTATAAATATACATTTTCTTCAAACAAGTGACAATAACAAAGTTAACAACTTTGTCTCCTATTTTAGTATGGCAAATAGAGTGACTGTAATAATGACTTAAATAGATCCTTGGTACCATCATGAGAGTCTATTAATTTTTAGCTTCACATATAATTTCTGAGAAAGAAGTGCCATGGGATACAAATACAGCACAGATGAGCTTCAACTCAAGAGATGGATACAAATACTCAACAGATGAGCTTCACATATAACTTGTGCTGTATTTTTGGTATATAATACGTGCAATAATAGCAAAGCTTTAACCCCAACTCATTCGGTGTTAAATACATAAGAGATTAATTTCATAATATTACAGTAAAACAATTCATGCGGGTGTTTGTGTACTGGATTTTGTTGTTAATGTGCAAGAATTAGGTTGTTAGATAGATAAACGACATGAAAATAGAATAGAAGTTATTTTTCTATTTTCGCTTTCTTGCACAAATCTTTCTAAAATCTAAATAAGGCCCTCAAATAATTAGTTAAAATTGCTGTGTACTGAACTTGCTGTTTTTTTCCCTTTTATTTCCTTATTTTTTGTGTGTGTGTAAATTATTAGCAATCTAACCATATAGTTTGTTTGTTTTTGGGTCTATATTGCTTCTTGATAATTGTGTGAGATGGAATGCAACACTAGTTAAAATAATTTTCATTTTAATTAGATTACTTGCTTTAAAAGAAATAAATATTTGTATCAATTATCTACTTAATTTTGATAAGAAATACGTAGTCATCTTAAGCTGTAACTGTATGATAATTTTAAAACGGATGTAGATGGATATGGAAGATGAGGAAGAATTGAAGAGGATGTGTGCTAATACAGCTGTCTGCGCCGTGGTCACTTTGGTAACATGTATTTTGAGAATGCGTGCTAAGCGCAAGAGAATACCAAATTGTTCGCCGCAAGAAAGGGTCAGGAAAATAAGTTGTAGAGAGGCTCATTTCAGACGTGTATTGGAGGGTTATCAAGATAGCTGCCAATCTTATATTAGAATGAGACCGATGGCCTTTTTTAAACTTGTTGAAGTAATGAAAGCAAACGGGTTATTAAAAGATACGAGACACGTTCAAGTTGAAGAACAACTTGCTATGTTCTTGAGTATTATTGGGCACAAAACTAAAAATAGAATAATAAGAACTGAGTTCATAAGATCAAGGGAAACAGTTAGCAGGTATTTCAATAAAGTCTTGCAAGCAATGAATGGATTACGTGATCGGTACATGAAGCAAGCCCCAAAAGAAGTTCCCGAGGAGATTGCAAACAACTCAAATTATTTTCCGTACTTTAAGGTAAATTAAATACATACAACTTAATAATTTTCCAAAGAAACTTTTTTTTATTTAACTATGTATAATTTATAATTTTTTATAGGACTGCATTGGTTTGATAGATGGCACACACGTCGACGCGGTGTTACCTAGTGACCTAGTTGCACGGTTTAGAGGGCGAAAAGGGGTCACCCAAAACATCTTAGCAGCCTGCACCCCCAATAAACTATTTACTTATGTCTTGGCTGGCTGGGAGGGGGCAGCAAATGATTATAGGGTATTACCTGTTTTTTGCTTTGTGCAGCTCATGCTGCTGCTGCTGGTTGGTTTGTGCCTGTTTTTTGCTTTGTGCAGCTCATGCTGCTGCTGCTGGTTGGTTTGTGCCTGAAGTGGTATTTGTGCAGCTCATGCTGCTGCTGCTGGTTGGTTTGTGCCTCTTTTGAGCTTGTGTACAGCTCATGCTGCTGCTGCTGGTGGGTTTGTGCCTGTTTTTTGCTTTGTGCCTATTTTGAGCTTGTGTGTAGCTCATGCTGCTGCTGCTGCTGGGGTTTGGTGCTATTTTGTTAAGAGCTTGTGTAGCTCGTGGTTGCATTTTGTGTTGTTGTTTTTGGTTTTCCTTGCCTGTGGGTTACTTGCTGTTTTGGTTTGCCTTGCCTGTGGTTTTCCTTGCACTTGATATGTGGCAATGATGATGATCAACGTTTTCTGAGAATGCAATCTAACTTACATCGTTTATTATATCCAGATGAGGCAAAAGGGGATGAGATTGTAGCCTACATTGAATTGACAATGTCTAGGCGAGGCAATTCATCCTTATAATGCAATCTGTAATAAACATGTAAGTTATAGGTGGGGCAATCAATGATGACAAGTTGATCTATTACTGAGCCATACAATATCAATTAGAATTTGTACCCAATTCAAACAACAGTTTTCATTACATCCTCAATAGTTTTTGCAATTACAAGTACATGACATGAAGTTTGTAATAATTAAAATAACACAAAAAATTGCTAAGAAAATTGCCGAAATTTTCCAAGCTAGTAGTTGATTTTCGACAAGTCTCAATTCTTTCTTCAGCTTCTTTGATTGCAAGATATATTTATCTCCGTACCTATTTTCTTTGACATATTGGCTTCCTTGGGTGCTTGATGACTCTCCTCTTTCTTCAGCCCATTCGAAAAAAATACATTCTTTGTTTGGGAATTTTGCACACCCCCAATAACACCTACCCTTATTTTTTCCATTCTTGCACACTTTCATCGGTGTTCGGAGATTGCAGTCGCAATAAACTTCATAATTCTGCCAGCACTCTTCTGATATCATCCTTGATGTCGGGGCAGCAAATTGAAGAGCTTGGGAATTTTATTATTGTTGAAAAATGAGAATGATGGGATTATTTGTGAGGCCTCAAGGTGAATTTATAGCCACCATGCCTGAAATAGCCGTTGCTACAGTGATTCCTAAGAAACAGCCGTTGCTACAGTGTTTGATGCTTGAAAATCTGGTTTTTGGGCTTATTACCGTTGCTACAGTGAAATGTAAATGTTGTTACAGTGTCTGCTGCTGGAAATATGAATTTGGGGGCTTAAATCCGTTGCTACAGTGTTTGATGCTTGAAAATCTGTTTTTTGGGGCTTATTTCCGTTGCTACAGTGACGATCCCAAGGAAAATTGACTCCTTGAACCAAACATGGTATTAGGAATTGGAACAATTCTATAAAAGTGGGATTACTAATCCTTTGGGTGAAACAAACATTAAAAGCCAAAAAAAGTGGGATTCCATAAAACTCAAACTTGTCTATAAAATTTTTATGGATTAGGTTGGAATCCATAAATTTAATAGGATTCCTAATCCTATTCCTAGTCCTTGGTGAACCAAACAGGCCCTAAATATAGTAAATGAGGTGCTCCCAGTGTACAAATTACTCCAGTTGAGTTGATACTTAACCCAACATTAGAAATTGCTCTAAGACCCTTAGGAATAGACTATAATGAAAATTTTAGAGGATTGTATTATTATTATTATTATTTTTTTGGTGGTAGGTGGGGGAGGGGGGCATAAAGCCACTATATATAAACTGAATGGGTAGGAGTACAAATGTTTTAAGTGTTTAAGAAAAGGTATAACTATAAATTCACATATTTCCGTTAGATTTAACTGAGTTTAACTCTCATTAATAATTCCGTTATGTTTAACTGAGTTCAATTCTCATTAATAAACAGAGGGAGGTTTTGGCAATGAAAATGCTGATTTGGGGGGACAGTTTAGGCAAATATTGAGTTAGTTAGGGAGGAGTTTTTGACAATTAAAGATGATGTAACGGATTATATATGCAATTACCGCTTATTAAAATTAGAAAAACCACGGATTGAAAATTGACTAGTTAAAGTTAATGTTTTCAGACATAAAAGGGGGTTTACAACCAAGGGGGAAAGGGTTGGGGGAATTACACAAAAGAATTACTTGGCGAATAAACACGAAATTGATAGCCTGGGATTTGCACTCCACGCACCCATAAAATAAAAAAAATAAAAATTCCCCAAAGATTCAAAATATAGGACCAATAGGAATGGGACACATCAATTGTCCCTCTTATTGATCTCATATTTTAGGTCCTATAGCAAAGCTCCAAAAAAAACTAATAACCTAAAGAAGAATTAGTGAAACACGAAACACAGATTTCATTACTAGATACAATCAAAGATACAAAGGGGGAAAAAGGGAGGGGAAAAAAAACATACTAAACGTACACGTACTAAACACGCAAACGAGGCTAAAAATGTCTTAGGCCTACAAATCCTAAACTGAGAGCTACTGATCAGGAGCCAGCCTCCTGAGGGCAGTGGTGAGGTAAGTAACCAGATCCCTGTGGCTGCCCTTCACTGCAGCCCGCCCCGCGCCAGAGGAATACTCCCTCGCGTGGTCGAGCAGCGCGCCGTACGACGCGTGACCTCCGAACCCTGGGCAGTGCGGGCAAACAAATTTGACGACCAGGTGCGAGTTGGCTCGCACGCTTCGTACACCCTCCTCTCGTAGCTCTTTCCACTTTTTTCTTCGCCTTCAAATCCTCGTCCGTCTGACGACAACAACATGTGAATAATACCATCTTCTTTATTAAAAACAATGGCGAAATATCACTCATATACCCTATTGTTTGAACTGCTTTGCACTTACATACCCTAACTTCTATTTGGTAGCAAAAAAATAAATAAATAAAGAAAGTTTTTTAACTTGCACCTATGTACCCTCATTTTTTAAGGCACTTAAACATCATAATGTTTTTACAACTAGCACTTAAATACCATAAAGTCCTTGCAAGTAGAGCTTAAATGCACACAAAAATTTAAAACTTGTATATAAATACTCTCAGCTATGTAAACTTAACGGTACTTAAGTGCAAAATTTAAAAAATTTATGATATTTAAGTATCAAATTTAAAAAACCTAGGGTATTTATGTACAAGTTTTTATAATTTTAGGGCACATAAGTGCTAAAAAAACAATTGAGGATATATAAGTGCAAGTTTAATAGATTTTAGTATATTTTCTTGCTACCAATACAGTGGAGGGTATAAAAGTGAATAGTAGATAAAAGTCGATAAAATTATGCGGTGATATTTTGACAAGTGCGAATCGTTGTTTACGTTTTTACGAGACTTAATTAGAAAAGAATATTGAAAGATTTTACTTTCGAGGGGGTTTTGTTCTGAAAAGATTTGATTGAGATGCTTCTTACCACCGAATCCAAACCTAGACGGTTCGCTACCTCCGCCCAAGTTTCTTCTCTCCCTGGCGCCGCCATAATCTATTGCTTGTGTCTTTTAATACCTGCGTCATGAAAAGTGAAGGAATTTTTAGTGTAAGGTTCTTCTTCATTTGAATGAATTGAATATTATATACAATTTTTGCAAGGGTAGGGGAATTCAGCGCAGGGCAGGGCTTAGAGCATCTCCAACAATGATCCTAGCTTTTCCCTATATTTGAGGAGCAAATATCCCATCCTAGGAAATAACAATGATCCTAGCTTTTCCCTATATTTGAGGAGCAAATATCCCATCCTAGGAAATAGGGAGTCAAATAAAGAGCAAGTGCTCCAACAATGCTCTTTTGAGGAGCAAATATCCCATCCTAGGAAATAGGGAGTCAAATAAAGAGCAAGTGCTCCAACAATGCTCTCCAAAAGGCTCCCTAAATAGTTTTGGACATTTTTCACTTACCTCCTTTTGTAATAAATAATTGTAATGGCTATATTCCAACGATTAAATTATAACGGCTATATTTCAATGGCTATATCATAACGGCTATATGACCTCTATAAATAATATCATATGCACTCTCATTTTTCACTCAACTCAAATAGTAGAATGCCAAGTGCTTTTAAATTATGAGATGGGCTAATTTATCCTATACAAATATGCAATATTTATAGATGAAAGGAGAATGAGAGGGGCTTGAATGCAAATATGACTGTTGCATTTTTTGAACCGTTGCTTGTCACTGTAGATGTAGGGAGTCTCTCTATTGTCTTTGATTTGGAAGATGCTCACAAGGACCCTATATTTGGAATATGGGATATGGAGCTTGTTGGAGCCAATTATTCAACTCCTACTCCCTAAATTTGATCAAGGACAAGGGATGAGGAGCTTCTTGGAGTTGCTCTTAGTCTTTGGTTATTTTCTGGCGTGTTATTCTCTAAGTTCAGGTCCTATTTATAATGCATATAAGTAATTATGGTAATGATAAATGAAATTAAACTAATTAAAAAAGGAAAAAATTAAATAATATCTTCGTTCATAAATAAATGAGCTACGATTTTGACTGACGATTTGATTCTCTTTTATTGCGTTGTCATATCAACATAACTGTTGCAGGCGCTTTGAAAATTCAAATGGTAAACTTTGACTAAAGAATGGATTCTGTTTTTGTGCCTTGTCTTATCAATCTTCTGATTTCTCGTGCATCAGTTATTATAGAGATTTTCTTAATATTAATTAGTCCGAAAAAGATTTTTGGCTCGCGGGTGAACCGCGAGCCACCCAACTCGCAGAGTTGGGTACAGGGGCAGTCCCCTGTTCCCAACTCTGCGAGTTGGGTGGCTCGCGGTTCACCCGCGAGCCAAAAAGCAGAGTTGTAATTAGTCCATCAAATCTTGGGAAAATTACTTCCAGACCTCAAAATCCAACTTTCAATGTGTCCCGGTCTCTCTAACTTTCAACAATGTGCTGCAGTTTTTTTTTTTGAAAAAATTATGTCCATACCCCTCATCCCAATTTCCAATGCAACCTCTTCAAAAATCCTGATTTTACCCCTCCCCGACACCTCCCTCCTCCTCCTCCTCCTCCGTTCCCCTGCTGTGTCCAGCCCAGCCTCCTCGTGGCGCAGCGCGCGCTCCTCCTCCCTCTGTGCGCCCCAAACGGCCTTCCCAAGCGCCGCAGCCCGCTCCTCCCCCCGCTGCACGCCTCCCCAAACACCGACCATACCGATCTCCATTCCGGGTGCCCCTCTCCCACTCCGCTCTTCGTCGGCGACCAGTCGGTTCCCGAGGAACTTCGTGGGTGCCCGACGATCAGGTTATCACTGTTACTCTTACGGTTGATATGTTAACTATTTACGCTAAGTGTTACTCTTAACTGGTTAAAGTTAACATGTTAACAATCAAGAGTTAACATGTTAACCCAGTAATGAGTTAACTCGTCCCTTCGCGCTGGCGAGAACTGAGAAAGAGGCAGGGGTAAATTTGTGATTCAGCCGCAACTAAATTTACTATAGGAATGTCTTAGCTAAAATTCAT